CATCTATTCTATCATGGGATGACAAGTGCAGACTTCAACACCACCTTTTCCAAACTAGACTTATATTAAGTGGGAAGAGCAGGTTGATCCCATCATCCTCTTTTTTCCCCACATGTCTGGTTTTCCGGCTCTCTTCAAGCAGCAAGAGCCTGTTGAGAAAAGCTGGGGTGTGTTAGGAGATGGCTGACACTGAGGAAGGCAACTGCGCTGACCCCACTGCTTTTGTGACCGTCTGCACAGACTGGAAGAAATGCAGGAGAGAAGAAAGTTCTAAAATTGTCCTTAGGACAACAAAGAGACCTTGCAACATTTGACACTTTTTCTAGCTCCTGCTGTCATCACAGCTATTGAGGTTGGAAGGTGGGTGGATTTTTTTGTTTAATTTTTAATATCTTGGCAAAATGCTGACAGATACCTTTTAAAAATGCATTTGAGATTCAAAGACCATTATCCTGACAATTCTAAGCCGGGTCACATAGAGCTACAGTACAGAGAATTTCCTTATCTTGTCAAACAGAACTCTGAAGCACTTTTAATACAAACTTGTTACTTTATTAAACCAGACTTGCAGGTTGCTCTGGGTCTCCAGGAGGTGAACTGTTGTTCTTCAAAAGTGAATTTTTGAGATATTACAAAAAATATGAGAGAAAGGGAAACTGGTTCAAACAATGTCACCATTCTTAAAACTGATGTTGTATTTGCCTTATAAAAATAACAAAATAATTCATTTTCATATATATGTGTATATATATATGCAGAGTGTATTTATAAGAAGAACATTTTATAACCCAAGTGAAATAAGTATTATAAGCCTAGAAAAGAGTGGAAGAATCCCATTCCCTGGCTTGAGGTCTGAGACTGACTGCTTCAATTTCAGCCATCTTTCAATATCCACAATAATGATAAATACAGCCCTTTATCAAAGGCAGTTTTGGTGTTGGTAGCTTTGTGGTACAGGTTTCTGCAGTCCCTTGCTATACTGAAGCACTCAGCACACACATACCTTTCTTAACTCTTTAGACAAACTCTCAGAAGAGAATCTACTGTAAACCAAAGATGCAATCATTTTGTTGCAAAGAGAGGTGTCATAAAGCACCAGGTTGCCTTAAGAACTCTGGTTAACATTTTCTTTGAAAATTCTCAGAACATACTAAAAATGTGACTTCCAGCAAGAACTCTGCTAATAGCACAAGCAGTTTAGAAAATATTTGGGTCATTGTAATAGATATTGGACCCTATCTTACTAATCTGTTCATTTAGTTCATTCATTTATTAATGGTGCTTTTAGATTATCGTAGGTCAGAAAGAGAGCTGGACAACTGAAGGTTACCATCTTTTTAAGATCCTTGAAAATAGAATAAAAACAAAATGAAGCTCTCAGGAGTTCCCCTAGATGCAGAATACCAGAGTGGGGAATCCCAGAGAAGAGTCTGGCCTGAAGTTATAAATTTAAAGCAGTTTTTACATGTGTGGACAGGCAAAAAAAACCCTCAGCAGGTTTCTGGGCTTTCCCAATGCACACTGCAGAGTCCTGTAGCCAATGAGATGCATGCTTTTTCATTAAGTGACATTCTGGAAATTGAAGGCCCTCTTTTACAGATGTTTTTAAACCAAAAAGTGCAAAATAAATTGTTAAATTAAAAAAATACTACATTGCTGGAAGAAGAAGACCTCAGTGGAACAACTGCTGGGGTTTCCGTCTTGTTCACAGTCTCCATTTACAATACAAGATTAACCATGTTTAAAAATAAAAGTGGCCAAACAATGCTATAACTGTTTTCTTACCATTAAAGACAATAAACCTTGTCATTTGATTTTAGGTACCTATCAGCATTAACACAGGGTTCTTGTAGTAAGATTACAGACAAGAAAAAATTATTTGAATATGACCACAGTTAAACATGGCTATTTTTGTAGTGCAGACAAGGACTAAGGCAGATGAGTGAGGGCAGAGGAACTGAAGTGACATGAAGTCACATAGCAAAGGTCACCACTCTCACTAAAATCGTTTTACAAAAACAGGTGTCAACCACAACAAAGTTAGGCCAGAAAATTGCACCAATAAGTTTGCATATCATAATTATAGAAAATTAGGTTTCAATTAATGTAGCACCAGGATATGCGGTTGCTGTAGGTAGGTATATACTGTAGGGATCATGGAAATGTTGCTTTATAATGTATGTGTAGCACTGGAAATGTTAGCATAGTAATATCAGTATTAGGAGCTGATGCTGGGACACCTCCTCCCTGCTGCTCCCACTAGCGCACAGAGGAGTCACTTCTACGTGGGAAGAGGTTACTGCACCATGCTGGCTGGTAGAGGCCAAGTCAGGATTTTTTGGGGGCCATCCCGTAGGCTTCATACAGCTTATTGAGAAGTTTATTCTTTTCTGTCTCAGGCAGGAAACTGGCTTGAGCTGCATTGATGTTCTGGAAAGAGGAGGGGGTGGGGAAAGAGAGAAAGAGATGTATCTGAGTGATACCAACAAGTCAGAGTGTGATGCTGTGCACACACAAGCATATGAGCACTAATGTGAGCTAGCAGGCGAGTTTGTGAAAATAAAAGGAACAGTTCTTGTTCACATTGCTACTCTGGAGCTCTGTTCTGCAGTCTCATTTTCAAAAAAGCTGCACCTGCCACCACTCCTAAGTGGTCTGCAAAAAACCAAAGGCTGCCAAGATAAACACTGGGTCTTCAAAAACTCTGCAGGGTTCTAAGACATGCAGTTTAGGAGCCTGATCCAAAACCTACTGAAGACAAGGGAAAGCCTTAAATGGACTTTGGACAGGGCCCTAAAAGAGGCAGCCCAAACTGCTGCTGTTGTGACATCAAAGCTCACCCCTGGCTTGCTTTGCCATTGGTGTGGATAATGCATCTTTTTGTTGTAAGCTTCCTGCTGTTAAACAAAAAGAAAATATCTGGCAAGAGCAAGAAGGGAACAAGACCTTGCAGCCAAACTGACCATGGAGTTACGAGTATAAGGTGTGGAACTTTCTTATAGATGGAAGGAAAAACTAAATGCGTCACCTCTATAGGATGCAGTGAATCCCCCTTCTTAAATGAAGTACCTGATACCAGGTCAGTAGTTTCTCCTGCAAAGCTGTATTCTGCCATTTCAGCTCTAGCTGAAAAGGAAACTAGTTGAATTCCAAGCTATGGAAGAAAGGGCGACTTCAGGAACTTCCTTAGCTTTCATTTATCTATATCTCTCCTAACAAGCCAATGCACCTTGAATGGAAAGCACCAGTAATTACCCACATGCAAATGACATTCTGACTATTTTCTTGTTTGTGTATCTTAGGTATAAAGTAGATGAAAAGGGCTGTTTTTAGGGGAGATTTTCAGAACTCTTCCCATGCCAAGATGCACGCAAAAATATAAGTACACATATACACCAGCAGAGAAGCAAACAGCCACTCTGCATTGAATGCAATTGCAAAGCACTTGTAGGCTGCTCCTGAAAGTCCGGCCCACAGTCATTGGAGAGGAACAGGAAAGAGCAGTTAGTGCGCTGCTCCCAGCACCTCCTCATGGGCTATTGCTCAATGTCAGTCTAAGGAACATGGCGAACCAATCCTGCCCCCCAGCCTGGTCCCAGCAAATCCCCAAGCACTCAGTTAGACTTGCACGTGCTGTGCCTCTGCATCTCGGGCTGGCCAAAGCAGCGTTGGAATCTTCCCCGTGCTCTTTATTCATTTCAGGCAGCTATCTGCAGCTTGCATGCACACTCAGCTCATGTCCTCTCCCCCCACTGCAGCTGACTCAGCAGCTTATCCTCCCACCGCCCCATGTGACAACTCCGCATTCTGCCCCACGCTTTCAATTCCACCAAAATCTCTTTGGTTTCATATCTCCAGGTAGGATTTAGCCTTACTTCACATAGTATCTCCCAGGCCAACTTACAACTCTCTTGAACTCCTCTTCAGTGAAGTCCATGTATTTCTTAGCTATTTTATAATCAGTATTGATTGTGGAGTTGAAAATAAGCGGGTCATCAGTATTTAGAGAATAATTGGCTTGATCCTTCTTAAACCTGGAAAAACAATTTACAGCAGGGCAGATACAGCAGGATAAATACCAGGGGGTAGCACAGGTTTTACACCTGCATGAATGCAACACACAAAAAACCTTCTACCCAGTTTAGCCACAATTTGTATTGACCCACCTGCATTTCCTAACTGTAGCCTAGCTTTGCCATCCCATTTTTTTAAATGAACAACAAACCATCTGTTGGACAGAGGCTCAAGCCCAGCCCTTACCATGCTGGTCACAACCAGGCAGAAGAAGGCAACACACTGACCCTGGGACTTAGCCTTGTCAGTTCAGGGCAGGACTGAGAGAACAGAAAGCTCTCTGGGATAAGGCCCATCAGCATGTTTGCTGCAGCCTCTTCCGAAGTGGTTTATCCACCAAGAAGGATGATAAAAACCGCTCTGACAGGACTTGAATTAATTTCTCATGTGAGGCAATAAAGTAGCTAGAAAGAAAGTGGAGTCTGAGCAGTTACTTTAAAATAATAAAGTATTATTTAAATGCCTTACTGTATTATTGGGTGTTTCTTAAAGTCCGGGTCACATGCTCCAGTGAGGTTACTGGACCAAGGGCAGGTCTGTTTATGTAGTTAAAAAAAAAAAAGAGAAGCAGTCAACCCCATCCACTTAAAATGCTGCTGCACAGACTGCTAAGTTGTGAAGCCCTCTGGGCAGTCTTACCCAGAAAGTACCACAGTGATTTACAGCCCTGCAAAAACAGTGAACATCCACTCTCAGTGTCTGCCACACACACTCGCTCCTAATTCTGCTGAGCAAATGTTTTTCCTATTAGCTATAATTTTCTGCCCACATACAGAAGCCTCTCATCATTCCAAAATCCATAATTTTCTGCCCACATACAGAAGCCTCTCATTATTTCAAAATCCCCCTTCTCCCCCTGCCCTGCCTCAAGCACTGTGTCGTATTTACTTCTCTGCATGAGAGACTGGCCTATGACTATGTGCAAATGAAAACTCTTAGTTAACTAGTCTCTGCAAAGGGTACTGCAACAGTTACTCTATGCCAAGGACTAGGCTGGGTGGTTTTCAAGACTGGAAGGAGATGTCTTCCAAGTCTGGTACCTTTTAGAGGCACACAAAATCCTCCAAGATCTCACCTGTCACCATTCTGCCTAGCACTACAGCCATGGCTTGGAAAGAAGTGGAGGCATCTCCCTGCACAGACAGAGGAGGCTGCTCCAAGCAGACTGAGGTCACTTTGGGTGCTGACAGATGTGCAGCCTCCAGCTGTAACTCATGGTGCACTCCACTTCAGGGGGGCTCCAATCCACCCGCTCCACCCTCCAGCGCAGGCTGGGCAAACCCCAGATTGAACTCCCTCTCCTCCCTTTCTGAAGACAGCACTGGAGGTGGGGCTGGGCTACTTCAGCCCAGCTCTGCTCCTTGTGTGCGCTGACAGTGTTAATGAAGGTGCTTCGTTTTGCAGTGCCTTTATCTGAACCCTCATGTAATGAAGTTTCAGATTGTCATGTGATCAGGCATTTTTAAAGCGCTCTACAGCTGTGCACTTTGGTCAGGTGCCTAATCACGCAAACCATCACTTCTGTCAGTGCCCTGCTTGTCACAAGCCCCTTTTCTTTAGGGCTGAGCATGCCGCCAGGGCATGACCTTCAGCATTCAGCACAGCAGAGAACCCAAACTTATCTCCCCATACGTGACACTGCTTTACTGCTCACCAGCACAGTACAACACATGCCAGAACACCGTATGCCTGGCTCTGACTCCAAGCCACACTGGAGTCCAAGCTGATCTAGGAAAGACTTTCACTCTGACTCTTGTCAGTGCTTGGACTCCAGGTGGTGGCAGCACCACCCTTCTTATAAAAGCATTTAAGTTCATATTAATTTATCCAAAATCCTGGGCAGTAATGCAGCTGAACGGAGGGCTGCTCTCCAACTCTGCGGTAGACAAAACTGCCATCCTTGTAAGACGTGGCATTACCTCAAAATGCATTCTCCTATCCAACAGTTCCTTATAAAGCACCGGGTCATTCATGACATGGTATCCGTGGCCAATCCGCTCAGCCTTCAGTAAGCTGACTGCCTGCAGAATAAAATGTTTCAGATCTCCAAGCTCTGTGCAAGAGCTTGGTCTTCTCCAAAGAGTATTATGTGGGGACCTGACCCACAGGAGCTTCTGAACTCTCCAGGACTCCAATCCTAGTGGCAGGACTCCCATCTCCCACCAATGCACCTGGGATGGGGGCTCCATTGACATCTGCTCTTTTGATCGTGGTGTAAGGCAGGGGTGGACAATTATTTGGGCCTGCAGGCCACGTGGGCAGTTTTGGGGAGATGCCATGGGACAGTCTACATCCCCCACCCCTGTAACAGCCCAAAGCCCACGTGCCCTGCGGTTCCTCCCCACCACTGCCACTAGTGCTCAGCAATAGCTGAGCACACAGCCCCAACCTCAGTTCCCCATGCACCCACTCCAGACTTGCTCTGGCTGAAGTGGACCAGCTCCAGAGCAGCTGGGACCTATGCGCACAGCCCCAAACCTGGCTTGCCCTGTGCCTGCTCCAGACTGCCCTCCCATGCTGAGCAACAGTGGCAGCCAGGCCAAAGCTGTTGCTGAGTGCAGGGGGAAAAAGTGACTGTCTCCCACTTGCCACTGCTGGGCCCATCTTGCTGCAGTCACCCAGAGCCCATGTCTGGGCTGCCCTGTGGCTCCTCTCCGCTGCTGTCACCAGCACCATCAGTGCCACTTCCAGGCTGTCCAGCAAGGCAGTAGTGGCAGTGGAAAGGAGCCACAAGGCAGCTCAGGCGCGGGCTCCTTTGGGTGGCCTCAGCAAGAAGGGCCCAGCAGTGGCAAGGGGGAGGTGGCCACTTTTCCCGTGCCCAGCAGCAGCTTCTGCCTGACTACCACTGCTGGTGCCACTGGGTGGGAGGTCCAAAGCAGGTGCAAGGCAAGCCAGGGTCGGGACCATGTCTGTAGGTCCTGGCTGGGCCAAAGCTGGTTTGCACTGGCTGGGGCAAGTCTGGAGTGGGTGTGGGCAGGGCTGTGCATGCTGGTTCCCACCAGTCTCCATGGGGCCAGGGCTAGCAGTGACAGCAGCTGTAAGAAGTCACTGCCACTTGGGCTGTCTAGAACTGGAGTGCAGCCACAGAGCTGCCCCAGCCTCCCTGCATGCCCAGGGGTGGCAGAACGTGCCACAGGCCAGGTGGCACCTGGGCCAAGCAGGACTGAGGGACCTGCCACAAGCTGGACAAAGTCCCACCGCAGGCTGAATCAGGCCACAAGGTCATATTATGCCCACAGTGTAAGAGCTAGGTCTCTGCTTCTCTCCTTCATTGATTCACTGACTTTGCTCCCTTAGAGCAACAGGAAAACTTGGCAACCTCCCAGAGCTAGTGAATGGTGCAGCAGGAGTTAAATCTGCTCTCTTTGTTCCCTGCATTATAATATATAATATGGAGATGCAGGGCAGTGCTGTTACTGCTGTGTTGCAATCTCTTACCTCCTTGATGACAGATGGAGGCCCAACTTCCCCAGCATGGACAGTTCGATGAATGCCACATCTTTCAGCTTCCTGGAGGGAAAAAAACAGCAGGGAGTGAAAATGCTTCTGTAAGTTTTGAGAGGCATGAAGAAAGGATAACCCAGCTTCTTGGGACAACAGCCCCTTCCCAGATGAATTACTTCCAACAAGCCTTTTGTCTGAGAGCTTCAGAACAGTGAACCTACTAGATCAGCTCATTCCACTGGAGCAACACGTGGAAAATAAGGAGGAAAAAAACTGTTGATGTGCATGCACACAGACAGGACACTGGTGCCCCCAGCCCATGTGCTAGGGAAGTCCAGACAACACTAATGAATGAAAGCAGCTTTCATAGATTCATAGATACTAGGGTCAGAAGGGACCTCAACAGATCAAGTCCGCTCCTCCAGCAAGATGCCTATCCAGCCTTCTCTTAAAGACCCTCCACGTAGAGGAGAGCACCACCTCCCTTGGGAGCCCATTCCAAATTCTGGCCACCCTTACTGTGAAGAAGTTCTTCCTGATGTCCAGCTTAAATCTGCTCTCTGTTTGTGACCATTGTTCCTTCTTACCCCAAGAGGCGCCCTGGTAAACAGAGCATCTCCGATCCCTTGCTGCATCCCCCTAATGAATTTGTAGGTAGTCACAAGATCACTTCTCAGCCTTCTCTTGTGGAGGCTGAAGAGGTCCAGGTCCCTCAGTCTCTCCTCATAGGGCTTGTCCTGTAAGCCCCTGACCATACAAGTGGCCCTCCTCTGGACCCTCTCGAGCCTATCAACATCTTTCTTGAAGTACGGCGCCCAAAACTGCACGCAGTACTCCAACTGCGGTCTGACCAATGCTGCATAGAGGGGAAGTATCACCTCCTTGGATCTATTTTTCATGTATCTGCTGATGCATGATAAAGTGCAGTTAGCTTTGCTGATGATTTTGTCACACTGACGACTCATGTTCATCTTGGAGTCCACTATGACTCCGAGATCCCTTTCCACTTCCGTGCTCTGAGTGGGTCACTTCCCAGCCAGTAGATGTGCTGGATATTTTTGCACCCTAGGTGCAGCACTCCACACTTGTCCTTGTTGTACTGCATCCTGTTGTGTATTGCCCACTTTTCTAACCTGTCCAGGTCTGCCGTCCCATCTACTACCACTCTCTGGGTGCGACCCCCAAGCCAATTTGCCACCCACCGGACCATGTAAACATCTATGTCACAGCCTCTAAATTTATTTATAAGAATAGGATCAGATACCAAATTGAAGGCCTTACTAAAGTCCAAGAAAATTACATCCACCTCTATTCCTGAGTTTAAGCATTTTGTGACCCTGTCATAAAATGAAACCAGATTGGTCAGGCATGATCTACTTGCTACAAATCCATGCTGGTTTCCCTGCTGCATTATTTTTGCCGCTGGACTTCCACAGATCCTTCATAATCTTTTCAAAGACCTTTCCAAGGACGGAGGTGAGACTGAACACCGAGGCAAAAAACTCATTGAATAGCTCAGCTTTGTGCCCTCTCTGTCACTAATTGCTCCTCCTTGTTCAGTAGGGGTCCTATGCTGCACTGTGCCTTCTAGTAATCTTACCTACCCTATGCCATATGGTGAATTCGATTTGGTGGTGGTCACTGTCCCCAAGGTGACCACGAATCTACAGCTCCCCTACCAGGTCCTCCCCTGTAGCCAACACCAAGTCCAGTAAGGCAGTCCCCCTTGTGGGAGTAAGGCATTCATCTGGCAGAGCTCACTTCTCAGGTGAAAAGTGTTAAGGAAATTTGAATCCAATGCCTAAAGTATATGCAACTGTGCCTCTTGGTGGCAGTTAACCTCAGCAGAGAGGGACAGGGCTCACTGAACCAAACTCCCTTACCCTTAAGGGCAGCACTGAGACCTGCTGGCTGAGGTTGGGGCAGGAGGAAGCTCTCATTGCAGTGACTGCAAATTTGACACCAGTGTTGATTCTCATGTTCCCAGAGCTTCAATGACAGGATCTAGATTCAGCAGCATGAGAAGGTGGGAAGGAAGCAGAGCACCAGGTGGGTGCTACAGGGATTTTAACAGCGGGCACACACACGTTCCTTCAGGCGACTGCTGCGACCTTCTTTTTAACCTCTGAATTGTTCAAGTCCTTGTAGAGTTTTTCAAATTTTGCAGCTGCTGCACTCATAGCTCAGCACCCAGGAAAGGCAGCACTCTGCCTGGGATGCTAACAGGAAAAGCCATCCTATTTGAAGCGAAGTCTAAGCTCCCTGCCTGCAGCAATAACTTATTTTAAACACATGTTTACTGACTGCTCTGCATGGGTCAGAAACTCAGACTGCTACCCAAGGGCTGAGATTACCAGACTGCCTATTCACACTCATTTTCCAGTGTTAATTTTTCAGAAATTCCTAATTTGAAGAATTCTGGGAAAGACCCGTGTTGACTTCAGGAGGTTTACTATCAGGCTCTGGACTCTCAGGACACAGCCCTTCTCCTGATAGCTGCAATCAAGTGAGAGTTTTGCCACTGCCCTCCAAGGAGTAGGACATGGAAGTCAGCAAGAAAGGCCATAAGGTTACAACTCTGAGCAACACCATCAAGAGACGAGACAACAGCTGGAGACCACAATGCCTTTGTCTCGTGCGGGGCCGGGGTTACAGGAGAACCCCAGACCAAAATAGAAAAAAGCCCCAACTTTCCTTCTGCAGGGGCCGAAAGGTGTGAGGAAACGCGCGTGGAGAAACCGCCCACGCAGTTCGTCAGCCGCGCTCATATCCAGCTGGGGCCGGGTGACGTCAGCTGGAGACGCCACCCGGCGGAAACAAAAGGCGGCCCAGAGGGCGCAGGAGGAAGGCCGGTGAGCGACGGCTCCACGGGGAAGCCCATGGCCCAAAAGGCGCAGCCGCTGCGTCGGGCAGCCCGGGAAGACGGGGGCAGAGCCAGCGGAGGCACCGGAAAGAAGCCGGCAGCAGAGCCAGCAGCGGGCCCGGCGGAGGCTCCAGCAGAGAAGCTGGCAGCGGAGGCACTGGCAGAGAAGCCGGCAGCGGAGGGCATTGGTCAGTCTGGGAAGACGGGGGTGGAGCCAGCAGAGGAGCCAGCGAAGGCCCCAGCAGAGAAGCCGGCAGAGAAGCCAGCAGAAGAGCCGGCAGGTAAGCTGATGAAGGGAGCAGCGGTGAGTGGGGAGCAGAGGAGACGACGAGTGCCGGGGAAACCAGAGCAACTATGGGAAAGCCTGGAGAAGATGTAACGAGGGCGGGGCCGACGGGAACCCCAACTGGGATAGCCGTGGGGTGAGTGGCAGAAGACCCCAAGTGGGGCTGGTTAATGGAGTAAGGGAGCCTGCAGATGGGCCCACAGCATCCCCAAGAAGAGTCAGCCGCAACCCATAGGACCTGGGTCAACCGGGTTGCCATCCCTGGAGTAGGGTCGAGCCTAAGGGAGAGACGGGAGCCCCGAGTGGGGCAAGCAACCAGGTCTGGGGCACTGAGGCACTGGGAAAACACAGGGCCCGTAGACTGAGGGGCACGCAATATTCCTTTGTGGCCTCCTGGCCCGCTGGTCACATCTCTCCGGCAAACACGGTGGTGGGGATCGCACGTCGAGTCACAGTGTGGTTGGAATAGGGAGCTAGGGAAAGGGATAGATGAGTCTAGGACCAAAGGGCCTCGGAGCCTTCACGCCTGAGCCGTGGCCCAGGGACACTGGGGCCTGTGGCTGGAGAGCCACGGGAGGCCAGGGTAGAGACCGAGAGGAACCAGGGACGCTAAAGGGCCAGAAGACCTGCAACCGAAGGCGGCGAGTGGCCGGGGTGTAGGGGAGGTCAGAGCCCTGTGAGTACCCACCGAGAGGCATGACGGCCCTGGAGTCTGCCTCGAAGGGGAACCCCTCCACTGAGGTTCCATTCAAAGTCGTGGCAGGCGAGTTAAGGGCCCCCCCCCCGGACGTCAGCCGGGGTAGCCTTTGGGGTCCACTCGCAGGCCCTGGACAGACAAGATCGATAGTCCCAGCTAAGGCTGCAAGAGAACGCCTGATAGAGCAGAGGTGGGCACAGCCTTGCTCAGGTACAACTCCTGTTAAAGTCCACGGGAGCTCTGATGCAGCTGACTTGAAAACAAGCGAGTTTTACCTGAAATGGCATTACACTTCAAAAGGTTTCCAGACACAGGCTGCGTCTGGAGGCAACATAGCCCAGAGTGAACTTCACAGCCTGCTGTTCCACCCTGTTTCCAGCCAGGTCTGAGGTCAACGTCAAGAGGATTTTCCGGAGAGAATGACCACATTAATCCTCTCGAATGTTTGAGACTGGCCGCAGCGAGCTGGGGATTATTGCACAGAGCCAGTGTCTGAGGTGGCTGCCTTGCTCCTTCCCGAGATTCCACCTCCAGCCCCAGGGCAGATTTCACTGCAGCCGCTAGATTTACATGGGTTTTCCTCGAGGGGAAAAAAAAACATGTGTTTTCTCATTTTTCTTTTTTGTTTATATAACAAAAGCCCTTTGGCCAAGATGCTTTGCCAAGATCAGAGAACAGAAAGATGGCTCATTCCAGGGTAGATTTGTGTGCGTGTGCGAGCTGGAGTGAAGAGCGAGGCCAGGGAAAACATCCTGCCACTTTCCCTCTCAGCACAGCCTCCCCTGGGAAATGGCCTAAATATCCCTCAACTTTCCATCTAAGGAAAAGATTGGGTATTACTCTCCCTCTGGTTCTATGCTTTACATCTAAGTTTAGGGATTACGTTATCCTGAACTCACTGTGGAGGTTTACACATGGCCTTCCCAGTTCCTTCCTCACAAGTTACTATACTGAATCCAAACTTTTGTCACTACCTACAGTCTTACTGTCAGCCATCAACTGCTCCTGGGCACAGTTTCAATGGGAAGACATCTGCCACCTAGGAACTCTAGTCCAAGGGGAGCCATCTGGTCCCCTCATCATAAGCCTCTTTCATTTCATAAGACATATTATCCCTCACACTATTAGCGTGAGCAGCTCCAGCATGAGGACAGTATTTAGAAGAAGCATTCCATGGCCATGCTGGCTAAGAAAGCCTGACAAACTGGAAAGTGATTTGTTCTGGTGTTTATAGAGTCTCAGTGAGTCACTGGCTTAGAGACCAGAACAATTAGGAGTGAGAAATCTAGACTTCAATACCCCCTCAACTGGAGTAGACCACGGATTAATTAACAGAAGAGGGAAAACAACTGTTTATCCACCTTTAAACTACCTAGATGCCAGCTTATGACCAGCTAACCGATTCTTCTTGTATAAGAATAGTATGATAGTTGAGGAAGTTACATTAGTTATTCAATATACTCATTTATTACAAGAAACTTCGGTAAAACATTGCCCTTAAGCATTTCACTGAAAGATGATGGCAAGTACGGAAAAGAATCAATTTAAAACAAAATTAAAAACATGGCCCTGGGCCTTTATACACCATAGAAACACCTAATATGAGCACAGCTGTTCAAGGCCACACAACACAACAGTCCATTTCGTCCATACCCACCCCTCACCCTTCAGCTTTTCCTTCTTATTAGGGCATTTTGCTTTAGCTGACCACCCAACACCAAGTGCTGGTTTCAATCTGCTGATATTTCAGACTAAGAACCTGCCATGGGCCAAAGCAACCTTATCTCTGCCAAATGTTTCTATTTCCACAAATAAAATCAACCATTTGACAAATGCCTCAGATTTCTCCATGTGGGAAGCTGAGGCGTGCATGGGAGCTGCTGTAGCTCAAAGGTATTGTAAAATACTGTCCAGTTTAGGAAGGAGAAAATACTACAAGAAATTAATCTCCTCCACTATCGTTGTAGGTTATCGAAACCGAAAGAACTTTTGTTGTCTGATCTGCTCAGCTGTTCCATTTTATGGCAAAGAGACAAGTGAGTTTCATTTTTGGAACTAGTTTTTTTTAATCACTTTTCCAATCATGCAAAGCAACATGAGAAGACAGCCCCTTATTCTCTTACCACTGAGTGCGACCACCTGCCCTTCTGCCAATTGCTGCAGATCCCATTTTCAGTGGCAATGGAAGCAGGGGATTCATGGCAAGAGAAACAGTGGCTGCAGAAACGGACACACTGCCCTGGGCAAATCCCTGTGGGAGAGGGATGCGTGATCTGCCCAGCCCCGGCTGCTGCTGCTCATTCCTGAACCTGGCTGTTGTTGCTGCTGTTGGCAGACTTCCTAGGGGAGATGCTATTCTGGTGCCCAGGGCTTGGGCCCTACTTATCCACTCCAAGTTACACAGCTGTGTGCACCAGTCCTGTACTGCAAAACTCGGGTTGCAAACACTGCTGAGGCACATTTAAAAAAAAAAAAAAGAAAACTATTTCTATTTAAATTGCTTCTAGATATCACTGCATTAGCAACTTAAATTCAAAGTAAGACTTTGCAATTCAAATAAAAGATGTTTTAGTTTTAAAGTATATGTTTTTTAAGCCTGGCGAGACATTTTTGGGGCCTGAACTACTTGGCAGATTCTTTTCACAATGTGCTGTTTCTTCACTAATTAAGAGGAAGTTGATGCAAGTTCTTTATCATTAACCTCAGGAAATTTCTTGAACAAACCTCATAAGCCCTCCTATGACCTTGGTCGGTTTCAGCCTTCAACAGCTCATCACCAGCCAAGTCTATGGCTACAACTGAATTATTGTGGTATTTCTTGCACAGCTCCACCACTTCGGAGGACCAATCTGAAAAAAAAAAAACCAGCAGCATGATTCAGGAAGAATGTTCTACAGAGACAACACTCCATACTCTTGACAAACTTATGCGGTTGCTCACATGAACAAACACAAAGTGAATTTCCTATTCAGGATATTTTCTGGGCTCCATAAAGGCAACAAAATACTAGAAGCAGATTTGCAATCTGGACCAAAAAGAAACAGGCTCATCAGCAAGTGACTCCACTGGCTGTTAAGGTATCTAGGCATGATATGTTTTAGATCTAACTACCAGGCTTTAAAAGGGGGAGCCCTCCTACATTAAAGTCCTTGATGGGGGAGTAGAAGACAAACTCACTTCAGGAGTTGGCCACAGGAGATTGCATTGTAGGAAACTGCACTCCAGAACATATGTGCCCAACTCCATGGTATGGAAATAACTCCCAGCATCACACCTGAGCTTTCAAATAGTTACCGGCCAGGCAAAGAGGCTGGAGTGGGCTGGGATGACATCCAGAGGCAAAGAAAAAAGAAAGTTATGTGCATTTGCTGTGTCCCCAAACATCATACTGTCATTGGCCATTAATAACCTGAATGCGTAGCTGCGGTATCATGCTTTTCACTCACAAAGCTATAAGCACCTAAAGGGGGATAACTGATCTTGCTCCTTCTCACCTATGAGATGACTGAGCACAGACCAAGTGAACTGATTTACCAGAAACAGAATTCAGGACTTCGGGCTCTTGATCCAGGATCTATATATTTTTACAATAAAGTTTTATAGATTCATAGATGTTAGGGTCAGAAGGGACCTCAACAGATCATCGAATCCGACCTCCTCCCTAGGCAGGAAAAAGTGCTGCGGTCAGATGACCCTGGGCAGATGCCTATCCAGCCTTCTCTTAAAGGCCCCCAAGGTAGGGGGGAGCACCACCTCCCTTGGAAGCCCATTCCAAATTCTGGCCACCCTTACCATGAAGAAGTTTTTCCTGATATTCAGCCTAAATATGCTTTCTGTCAGTTTGTGACCATTGTTCCTTCTTATCCCAAGAGGCGTCCTGGAGAACAGAGCATCTCTGATCCCTTGCTGCGTCCCCTTAATGAATCTGTAGGTAGCCACAAGATCAGCTCGCAGCCTTCTCTTGTGGAGGCTGAAGAGGTCCAGGTCCCTCAGTCTCTCCTCATAGGGCTTGGCTTGTAAGCCCCTGACCATATGCTTGGCCCTCCTCTGGACCCTCTCAAGTCTATCAACATCCTTCTTGAAGTACGGCGCCCAAAACTGGATGCAGTACTCCAACTGCAGTCTGACCAATGCTGCACAGAGGGGAAGTATCACCTCCTTGGATCTATTTGTCATGCATCTGCTGATGCATGATAAAGTGTGGTTAGCTTTGCTGATGATTTCATCACACTGACGACTCATGTTCATCTTGGAGTCCACGATGACTCCAAGGTACCTTTCCACTTCTGTGCTGCTGAGAGGGTCACTTCCCAGCCAGTAGATGTGCTGGATATTGTTACGTCCTAGGTGCAGCACTCCACACTTGTCCTTGTTGTACTGCATCCTATTGTGGACTGCCCACTTTTCTAACCTGTCCAGGTCTGCCTGCAATCATTCCCTACCCTTCAGAGTGTGCGCTTCACCCTACAATTTAGTATCATCCACAAACTTGGACAGAATACACTTCACACCCACATCCAAGTCACTGATGAAGA